CTGTTCAGAATGAGGCTGTTATTGGTATAAATTGTAAATACATATATTTCCTGATCCTGTATAGTACTGATTGATTGATATAAGTATATGGATACCACTTAAACCAACTAGTAGTGCTTGTTAGATGGATAAAAGTTTTATCAGCACCGGATGGCCGTTTCGCTCATTTGAGGCCCAACTCACCACAGGCGTATTATGTTATTATTATATTTGTTGTTCCCTTGGGTTCCGAGTGTAACAAAGGGCTCCAACTTGTTCTGTTTTCTGCTTTCCTCGTCAGATGGGCCCACGATTGCCCATAATCTCTGATCTCCTCCATGTCACTCTAGGACGACCCACTCGTTTCTTATATGGGTTCCACTCGAGGGCCTGGCACACGATGTCATTAGACGGCCTCCTTAGCTTTCGCCTAATCCGATAGGTCCTTGGTTGATTTGTTGCTACAGTTCCTTGTTGCTAGTTCTTTCTGGCCATTTGATCTTCAATATGGAACCTGCGAAGGCGGCTGTTGATGAAAGTCTGTAACCTGTTTGGAATGCTTTTATTAATGTGCCATGTTTCTGACCCACATAGAAGAACTGCCTTGACATTGATGTTGAAAATTCGAATCTTGTTCTTCGTTTTGAGTGCAGAAGATTTCCAGACCGATTTCGCAGTGATGAAGATGTATCTTGAAATAATAGAGAAGATTTGTAGCTCAGGTGGATGATTTGCAATTAAAAGTGTTCTCTGAGCTGGTTGGTTTAGTCGCGAAGCTTTCGTCGTCCTTCCGGACAACATCTTCAGCGCCATATTTAGCACAAAGTGAAATGATTTAAATTTCTTCATGCGTGATGTAATTGCGTCTCCTGGTTACTATCTTCACATATGTATTGACCACTTTCTATTGACTAGGATTTTAAACTTTTTGGTCACCTGATTTACTTTTTATTAATTGGTATATTTCATCTATATTAACGTGTTTGTTAATCGCATTTTCGCTTGAGTACCAGGCTTCTAGGAATTCTCTGGCACTTTTCGTGTTTCCTCTGTTTAAGATTTTGACATGATCCCAATCAAACTGATGACCATAGTTGTCTGCATGCATTGATACTAAAGAATACATATCATGTCTTTTCACGGCTGATTTATGTTCTTGGATTCTGATTCGAAGGGGACGCCCACTTTGGCCGATGTAATGCTTGTTACAGTTCATACAATTTATTTTGTAGATGGTATTAATTTTATCCCCTTTTTCTGTTGGATCTTTTGGTTTGCATAATATCGAATTAAGCGATTTTACTGGTTTGTGTGCTATATCTATATCTAACGGTTTCAGTATTCTGGCTGTTATTTCAGAGATATTCCTCATGTATGGTAGAATGAATTTTCTTGTGGTCTTTGATGATGGTTTCTTGTTGGTGTTTTGATTCGACTTTAAACACTTTTTGATGAAATTTTGTGGATAACCATTCTTTTTGAAGACCGTTTGTAGGTACTTTTCTTCCATTCTTTTCAGCTCTGGAGTGCTACAATGTGTCTGAACTCTTTTAAACAATGTCTGCACACAGTTTCGTTTGTGAGTAACTGGATTATTGCTAGTATAGTTGAGTATTTGATCTGTGTGCGTTGATTTTCTATAAACTTGTGTCTCTAAATCTCCTGTGTTGGTTCTCCTGATTAAGACATCTAAAAATGGGATTTTGTTATCTAATTCTTCTTCTCTCGTGAATTTGATGTCTTCAAATATGTTGTTTATTAATTTATGAGTATATTCTAAATCACTTCTCTTAATTATTACAAATGTATCATCAACGTAACGTATCCAGATTTTCGGTTTAATTATAGGTAGAGCTATTAATTCTAATCTTTGCATAACGGCTTCAGCTATTAATCCTGATATGGGCGATCCCATTGGTGTTCCTTTTATTTGTTCATATATTTGAGTATTGAACTGGAAGTATGTTGTAAGGCATAATTTTATGAGTTCTATCCAAGTTGATAATTGCGTTTTTGTGTTTTCATCACTATAGAGTAATTGTTGCATAGTTTCTATTGCTAGTTTTGGACTAATTGAAGTATATAATGCTGTGACATCAAAGGACACCATTATTTCATTGTCTTCTACTTGAATGTTTTTGATTTTCTCTAAAAATTGGATTGACGAATTGATAGAATGGTCGCATGATTCTGTTAGGTAATTTAATTTCCTGAAAAGTTCTTTAGATAGATTATATGTTGGTGTTCCTGGAAGCGAAACGATTGGTCGTAAGGGAATATTTGGTTTGTGTAGTTTCGGTCTACCATAGAATCGAGGTAAAATAGGTCCGTTAGATTTCATTCGCCATTGATCTTGTTCTGTAATTTGTCCTGATTTCGTTAGTTTATTTAACGTTGTTTTGATTTTGTTATCTAATGTTTGTATAGGGTTTTTTGTCAACTGTTGATATACATTATTATCTTTGAGTAAATCCTCTGCTTTCTTTATGTAGTCTTCTGTGTCCAGGATTACTGTTGTTCTTCCTTTATCAGCCGGTAGAATAACTATATCTTTTCTATTCTTCAGTTTCTTCAATGCATTTTGTTCTTCAGTGCTAAGTTGGGAATTATGTCTTTTCTGTATGATACATTGACGTACTTCTTATTGTACTTCCTCATTTAATTTTGATAATTTGAGTGATGATTCTAAGGAAGCACAAAAAGCACACAGAATATTTTAAATTAGTAGTTATTAACAATATTAGCGTTTTTTTAAATAATATCGATTTGTAAAGTATGATCAATGCTATTGTAGTTCATCAAAGATGCTTAAATTATAATAATAATAAAGATATAACAGCGAATAGAATATCAACTAAAATTAGGGAAATTTCACAAAAATTCTGGATGTATCTTGTCATTTTTGCCCAGTTTACTAGCTCACTAGGTTTCTAGCCAGTCCCAAGCCTGGGTAAAGAGGGACAGTTGGCCTTGTGGCTAGTGATCCAACCCAGGAAAAACAATCAAACTGCTACAGATACTTCAACGTACAAGAGATGTACCATATAATATTATACAAATATGTTTGCTGTCCTAAATGCCATTAATGGTATCAAGCAGAACACGTATTTTGAACTTAGTAATATCAGTTTCGAAAGGAGATTGTGGTGAAGCTTCACCCCGGATTGTATAAACTCCTAATTGAGAATTAATTGGTAAATTGCGAACTTGATCCAATGTCTTTCCTGAATTTGGAAGTCTGCTTTCAAAAGTTTACAACAAATAAATATTTTTATATTGGTAACATTTCGTTTAACAGAAGTTTGAAACAACCAATTCCTTTAATAAATTTCGACAAAACAATAAGATTTAATTATACTAAACGTGTCATGTATTTCCACAACACATTTGGGATTTTCTGATCACACAAATAAAGGGTCAAAATTGGATCAATATAGGTCGAAATGTTTAGGGGCCAAAATCACAGATAAGAGGTGAGAAAAAAAGGAGTGAAAATATGAATAAGTTTTCAAGTATTAATTTGTAGGGATTTTTGCTTGGTTGGTCACAAGATTTCATCATGAGCTGACATCAATTAGAGAACTATTGGAAGACCTGCAGGGAGTACTAGTTTCGGACTCTTGAGCAGTATGCACCCACCGACAGGGTTCGAGCCCAGGACCTTCTGGTTACAAGGCCAGCGAGTTCGTAGACCATTCACTCAGCTACTGCGACCCGATCTAGTGACCAACACATGAATCCTAACTTCTGACCTATTCAGGCAGTTACTTGGGGTTCTAATGGGAAGCCATGACCAGCGGGGTACAGCAGGTCGAAGGTGAGGACAGGTGCTCATCGAATAATACATTGTGAAGTGGTCGCACTATGTCCTGAATTGGCATACCAAGCCATGTTGAAAGTAATAAGAAATAATTTTTGAATAGATAAAGCAGGTTTAAATATTTTTGTGGCTCGAGCTTCTACAAAGCTAAGTCTGCCATTCAAACCTATTTTATAAATGGTTTTAAAAGTAGTGTTGAAATAAACTTTATGGACTGTCTATAACCATTAGAAGTTTCCACTAGTTCATATGTGGCAAAGACAGTATCTTCAAAAATTAGCATTTTTATTTATTTTATTTTAAATATCTTTTCACTGTATCATGGAAAGCATCGTAGATTACGTGCATTATTTTTCAGTTGTTTAATTACAGTTGTTAATTGTTCACAAATGAAGGAACCGAACAAAGATATGTATCGACAGTGGTTGCAAGAATGATGGACTTCTATGCTCGCAAATCATTCTCACTAGGACACCACAACAGAAAGTATCTGTAATAGTCATAAATATCTCCCTATGCTTGCAGAAGTTTTATGCGCATATTTCAGACACTGGAATTTGTATCCTAAATATGTTATTCTACTCTACAGAATTCATTGTTAGAAGTAGTGGCATAGCTAATCTCCCTACCCACAATTTAAAATCACTACACTTATAGGCATACAGACACATCCACACGTGATGTCTGAAATAAAGTAGTGAGTGAATAAATGCATAGATAAAGCATATCTTAAATTATTCCGTTAGGAAAGAGAAAATAACTCTCTTATATTTCAATCATTTCAACTCACTCTTGGGCTAAGCATTCATTGGAGGAGAATGGAATTTTCCCTTCTCTATTTGGATCAAACTATTATTTCTGAACATCGTTATTGGTTCATTTTACAAAAGTTATGCATACATTCTCCGTCCTTATACAAGCAGAAAACTATTTTTATGGAATTATCTTTAGTCACACAAACCGTAGTACAATAAATCCTTACTACGTTTGTTTGTTTTATTATGCCATCTAAACATCCCCCTTCTTTTAAATTGTATAAGGTTTATTTATTATGTTGGGCATCACTTTATTTTCATTTTAATGATAGAATTCTGTTTTTATCTCTCATCATCATACACTACTAACTCTGTAAGAGAAACTGTCACATAAAATATTGAAAATATATTATTCCCTTTATCGAGCTTCTAGTAAATAATTAAAAATGAATCCAAATTGCTCGAAAATAAAACTAGATGAAACCTGTTTTCCAATGCCAATTAAGCCTAATTTGAAATATGATAAATGTGATATTGAGAATCAAAATTATCTTACCCAAACAAAAATTATTCATTTTTTCAATACTTACAAATACTTTTTGCATAGTTATGCTAATCACTTTATGCATAAAGTTAATAATGATACATTTAGCCTAAATACTAGTAACAGTAATGAAATATGTAGTTTATCAAAATCCAGTTCATCTTGGGATGGTCAAAATACACTGAATAGTGGATTGTCAACAATAAGTCCTTTTAAACCATGCCTAATTAATGCCATGAAAGAATCACAATTAGGAAGACATTTATCAGCATTCAGTCCAATGAATACCTATTTAAGGCATCCTCATTTGCATCAGTTGCGTCTATCCTCTAGACATCCAAAACTTAAATCTAGTAATCCTACGAGGGTCTTTCCGCCATCCTCCTCATCGCCAACATATGCTACCTTGTTCTATGAAAACTATCCTAAAACAAAGCTCGATTCGACAATTAATCCAAATTTAAAACTGTTACCTTCAACCAATAATGATAAAATGTTGAATGAGACGTTATCTACATCATCAGCAGTGTCAGTCAATCTGCCATCATCTCTAAAACCTTCATCATCCAAACTACCAGCATCGTTATCATCATCACCGTCGTCATTATCATCGGATTCTGTGAATACATCGAAAAATTTAACTGTACAAGTTTTAAAACGTTTAGCCAAATTACCAAATCACCTAGGACCACATATATGTCAATTATGTTATCAATATTTTGAAAATGCTCTGAAATTAGCTAATCATCGATGTCCATTGATACTTCATACCGATTACCGTTGTCCTGAATGTGATAAGGTAAGAAAATCTGTTAAGTTCTACTGTGTTTAGACAATATACTTTATTCCTCTTCTTGTATTTAAATAAATGCCTGTGCCGACGCACTATATACATCACTTTGTAATAGATAATTCACTTTATTTAAATTTCTGAGTAGTTGTTTGATAAAATGGCGTCAAGCATTTATACATCTAGAACAATGGATTCGGACTAGCAAATACCATTCATTGAGAGCTCTGTTTATCTAGAGTAATCTTATGGAGATTCAGTTGACTCAAATACTTCTTCTTGTTAGTTAACTCCGGGTATCTGATGTATCCAACGTTCATTAAATTTTACTTTATCAGTAAAGAAAAACCAATTTTTTTTATCTGTGTTAGTTGCTTTAGCATATGGGCAAGTATCTATGACTAGTATACCTACAGTCTTTTGAAATCTTTACTTTATAAGTGTGAAAAATGATTTGATTAGTCTGAGTGTATAAAATGTACAAAAGTTAGTAGGAATACAGTAAACGGTTTACATAAATCTGCATTAGAAATTCAATATTATGAATGAACAGAAAGTAATAATAATTGTAAAATAATAATAAAATAAAACATCAAGAGTTGTATTTTGGGTTTGGCAAAGGGAGTGAGTGCATGTAATGTTTTTGAATGTAAAGATTTGGTTTTACGTCCCAAATAGCCAATGATTTGACTATGTAAAAATGGCATATTCAAAGTGCTCTCCTGTTTCACCGTGAAGCAGGAGTGTTCTGATGTCCACAGTTGACAAAGTACTCTAGGATAAAACTACTGACATTCATCTTTTCTCCCCTGATTAGCCAGGCTAATCAGACTTGACACTACATACGGCCTATATACTTTGGTCCAAAAGAATAAGTAAATGCACATTCAGGTGACCAAAAGCCTCACATTACGCAAGACATTTTCTACAACATAGTTACCAGTATGTGATTGATTTTATGGATTTTCTATTGAATATGAATACGACTGTACTGCTTTTGAAAATGGTTTGTCAGAAATAATATTTTCCTCCTTGTTAAGTCTTCTTTTTATTTATGGCTTAATATGGGAGATTTTGTTTATTAAATCTTCACATTCCCACTGAACCCATATCTGGGGACTCTGATCATTATTATACATTAACATCAAATGTATAATGCAGTTTACTTATTCTGACAACAGTAAACGTATACCGTATACTACCTATGATCTTTGAAATGAGTATTTAATTCAGCCGTTAATAGATGTCTGGATCTAACCCAGAAAAAAACCATTTCCATATGAATTAATTTTACTATTTACAATCTTAATAATGATGAATAATAGAAACGATAGCTTAATTGCACATCCATAGTTCTGCGTTGTTTTATGCTCTTAATGTTTACCTCTTAAATTTGCAAACTGATAATGCAGTGATAATATGTTCCCCAATAGATTTAGTTTTCAGTATAAAACCATATCATCTAGAGGGTATTTATGTTACTCGGCGGTTCAGTGGAAGAACGCTCGCTAGCCACGGGGACTTCAGGTTTCGATTTCCAGCTGACTTACTATTAGAGCTTACCTAGCCTGAAGTGGGCCTGGAAAAGAGGAAAGATTGAGCATAAGATTATCAACCCTGGAAAAACAACACCGCCAAAACTGGAGCTCCAAAGCTTGAAGGTTTACTTTCCACTAAGAAAGCAGGGAATAATAATAATAACAATATGCGATTCGGTAACTCTAGACAGCTGTCTTGTGATAACCTCACTCATCCCATCAACTAGTCAACAGATCGAAATCCTGAAATCCATATTCTCCATCTTAGGTTCACACTAAAAAATAATAAGGTGAATGGGAGTTGAACAGTAGAAACAGAAGAATGAAGTAAAAATATGAGTCACATCAACTCATTGATCTAAGAGTAGAAATTGGACACTGTGGTAGGGTATAAATCCATCATGAAGAAAATTTATTTGATAAAGTCTCAGGATGTTATACCATAATATTTGCTGTCATTACGCACATGCACCTTAAAACAAGTTTCTAAAATATTAAAGAGAATAAAATCTGTAAAATGTGGAGATATTTGAATATGAATGACCTGGACACCTATCTTTCCAGTCATCTAGTAAAGATTTGTGATATACAGAAATGTTCGATGGATTTAGATCATATGAAGTAGGGAATTATGATTTCGAATTCCTTTAATGTTACTAGTATGCAAGAAGACGTACATGGAAACCTAACTAAAATTTATCCTTTTAGAAAAAATGGATTATGAAACTGAGTCACTCTCAATAGCGATGTTGTTGTTTATTACGGGAAGGGTTACTAGTTTCACTTCCAACCTCCTCTCTTCACCAGGCTTACTACCGGCTGTTTGAAGTTTAAGAGTACTTTGAGCAATAACTGAAGCCGGACCACGTGAGTAGTTGGTAGGCGTTCTACAACTGAACCACCAGCTTTCTGTCGATTACCTCCAACTATCTAACATCATTTCAGAGTGCACTGCAATGGCGAGCCACCTAGCTTGTTGATCACATTGCAAAATTCACTGATAGAATTGAGTCCGCACCAAATCCAAGGACTGAACGCACGACATTGGTTACTCCCTAGTGACCGATCAGTGTATCCATTACAGTCCTAAAAGATTTACCATATTGGTTTTTCGTTATCTGACTAAATCTTCAGAGTAACAGTAGTGGTTATTTGTCAGATGTGGAAAAAAGTATAAAATTATATCTTTAATGCACCTGTGAAACAAACCTCTATAATTAATTAAGTTACAAAAATCAATGTGGAGTTTTCTAGAATTAACTATGTTTATTATGATGAAGGCTTTTGTATTTCCCAACGAATGAAAAACAAAACGATATTGTTTTTAAGAGTTAAAAGGACCTCTTAACTCTTTGTTATATATATATATATTGTAAATTCCGGTTTAATAATACTTTAATAAAGATATTAGCATTAAATAGCGAAATGTCAGTAAAAACAATATCGTTTTGTTTTTCATTCATTGGGAAATACAAAAACCTTCATTATAATGAATATCATATACCCAATGCCCAAATTTTTACAAACTGTTAAAAGTGAATTTGGTTTGGACATATATAAGTTAACTATGTTCATTACCAAAATAATACAGTATAAACTTGATTAGGCGGGCAACTTTAAACGTTAACGCTTCTCAGTGAATACCTACTCGGCATTCATATAACGCTTAGTACTTTTAAGTGAGTAAAACTATGGTTCTCTAACTGATATCACTCCGTGGTCTAACTCGTTAAGCTAATCAAATCCTGAAAATTAACCATTTGTATTTCTGACGACAGTAATGATTCACTATTTATCAGTTGAAAAATAGACATAATGAAGACTAAAGAAGAACAGATTAATACAATAGAAATTGAACAGATATAAAAATAGTTATTAGAAAGTATTTAAACCCGTATTATATGACAGACTATGAAATCTTGAGTTACTCAATCTATCCTTTATGAATTGAATGATATTATGTCTAATAGTAACAGAAATATAATTCTGTATGTTTCTCCATCTTTCTCTCTCTGATTCATTTAGTTATCATTCTAATCAGATAATTCCTTTCAAGCAAATGCCAATAGTTCTAAATGATTTAGTTTTAAACCATTATTTTGAAGAGATTTAAAATTGTTCAGAATGAAAGATATGAGTTGACGATGATTATCGCCTTTCAGCAAATTTAAGTCTACCTTTTATGGTTAACTGTTCATATATAAACTTAGTAGTATTTTTTGTGAATGATCAATTATAATTCCTTATGTAGTAAACTGAGAAGGCAAAGTTCTTAATAAATCAAACCTTATATGATAATTTCTAGATCCGCTTCTCTGCAAAAGAAAACTGGGATCAATTAACATATGAATTTACTCTAATAATTAAATCAAGCAGGCTTCTGTATCATTTACTTCTAAAGATTTCATCTTATTCACTAACTGATTCTAAACACTCACTTTAAGTCATAAATACTTTTCACTATGTTCATTTTCAAATTTCCAAAAACTGTTTTCATATTTTTCATTATTTTTAAGGTATTTAGTTGCCCGGCTAATCTAGCAAGTCATAGACGTTGGCATAAACCAAAATTAAATGTAATTTCTGATCATAGAGGCCCAACAAATCATACTGCATGTACAACCAATCACAACTACAATAATTTCACATCTGAAAAATACTTTGATTGTAATGACAAAAATGTGCTTACATATTCAAAATACTCAGGCGAAAAAATAACTTCAAATAATTTGCCTAGGAGTGATATGAATTCAATTCCACCTCTTGAAGACCAACAGTTAATGGAGAATAAAGTTGATGGACAAGTATGTGACCAATTTCGTCACTATCAAATTAATCACTGTGTAACAAACTCCAATTTCAATCGGAAACTAAATTTTTCAGTCCAAACATTACTTGAAGACCCCTTCAGTTGTAGTGATGAGTACCTTATAAGAAGTGATTTAAAAGTTGACAGTAATGAAAAAGCTGTTTGTAATGAATCGTCAATAAGTTATCAAGAACAAACAAGTTTAAAAACTAGTGAAAAATCCTGTTTAGCCATTTGTACTACTGCTAATGACTGCAATATTAAAAGTAATGCGTATCTGACTGCTGACATTACTCAAAGTACCACGTGTAATGTTAACTACCTTCCCACTGAAAAACAAACTTCAATCAAATGCAATTATTGTCATTCAGTTTTACCAAGTCAAAGTCTATTCGAAACTCATATGCTGCAACATATTTTTAATAATCTCAAATCGGTAGACCTTTTATCGAATTCTAACTCTTCTGGATGAAGCTTACTCATAAAGTCATTTAATTGTGTCAGAAATATTTATGAGAACAGTTTCACTCACAAAATGATTTCATTCATCATTTAATTAACAAGTATTTATTCATTCATTCTATTATCACTGGACTGAATTTCATCAAAGAAGGGAAAAAGCAGATCTACACATAAATAAAACAATTATTTCAACAATTCACTTTTCAATCCACAAAAATAATTAAAGTTGAATGAGCTAGTGATTTTGAGAAAATAAGAAATACAATAATTTTTCTGCCCAAAAAATTCATTTTTGTTCTCTTCATTTCTTTCTTTCCGTGTGTGTGTATGTGTATGCTTTTGTGCGCTTCTTACTTATACCTTTCTGATTACTATCTGTGTATTTCAAATAAAGGAGAAGGAAATACTCGAACAACAAATTCACATTTACGACAACCATGATTAGAACAACACAAATGGATGATGTGAGGTTGGGGGTGGGTGGGTGGTTGGCAAGAGCTTGAAATACTCAGACTTTGTTAGATTTTAGTCGAATATCGTTATAAACTAGCTGGTTGGTTGTATAATATAAAAATAATGCATATGAACCCTTTTCTTGACTCAAATATTTCAGTAAATGCTTATATCGCTAAGGATGTGAATAAGAAAATTTAGAATTCTGTGAAGGAAAGCAAAATTATATTCTGTATGACGAAGGAATAAAATTATTATCAGTAGAATAATATAGTTTCGCCAATGCCACCACCACCCCGCAGCTCCCCTCCCCCACCGCATTTCACAATGTTATGAAATTAAATAATTTTTATTTCAGTTGTAAACTAACCCGCAGAAACCAACACAGTTATCCTGTCATCAAACAGTAATTCACTGCAATGAATAAACAAGTGAAGACAACAAAAAACAAACACGACAGTATACCTGTTTAAATCTCATTCAATACAACTACGCAATTTTATGTCATGTTGAAATTTCTATTAAAAATGTTTTTAATTATTGTCATTATGTTATAGAGCAAAGACAAATTCGGAAGAGAAATGAAACAGTAAAAATCAAATAAAATTTATGCCTTTCTTTTCATTATAATTTAATGTTAGTGATGGCATATGGATGTAGATCTCATTAATATGTCCATGTGTAAATTTTGTTGTTATTCAAGTAAACGGAAGTGAATTATATGAATTTATTACTATATTTATTTTCTGAAAAATAAATATATATATATATATATATACATAATGAACTTAGAGGGTCTTTTAATTAGGGAATTCTCACAGGGCTGAATACCACATCAATCTTAAAAGTAGTATTTTCATGAAAGACCATTCTAACCAGTCTATGCTATGGGCGATGTTAAAGCATATCCCAAAATGCACCACTGTTTGAATGAATGCCTCAAGGAAAGAGGTAAAAAATGAAGCATTTCTGTTGTAATAGACCACATATATTTTAGTATGAAATAATGAAGATGCGAATCTGTATGTTTAACGTTGAATCCTGCTGTTTAGATATGACCGTCAAACAACATTTACAATATTTCATGAAACAGTATAATCTAAAAATCAAGAATTCAATCGAGCTTCAAGATTAATAAATACTCCAGTGAATGAACTTCAGTGATAGTATTTTCAGGTATTGGTTTTTATAGGGATTTTTGCTTGGTTGGTCACAGGATTTCATCATGAGCTGACATCAATTAGAGAACTATTGGAAAACCTGCAGGGAGTACTAGTTTCGGACTCTTGAGCAGTGCCCATCCACCGACAGAATTCGAGCCCAGGACCTTCTGGTTACAAGGCCAGCGAGTTCGTAGACCATTCACTCAGCTACTGCAACCCGATCTAGTGACCAACACATGAATTCTAACTTCTGACCTATTCAGGCAGTTACTTGGGGTTCTAGTGGGAAGCCGTGACCAGCGAGGTACAGCAGGTCGAAGGTGAGGACAGGTGCTCATCGAATAATACATTGTGAAGTGGTAGCACTATGTTCTGAATTGGCAGGAGTTGGAATTCATGTGTTGGCCATTGGATCGGGTTGCAGTGGCTGATTGAATGGTCTACGAGGTCACTGCCTTGTAACCAGCAGGTACTGGGTTCGACCATTGTGGATGGGTGCGTACTGCTCAAGATTCCCAATCTAAGACGAAACAGCTGCCTAGTATTCTCTGCAGGTTTTCCAATAGTTCTCTAACTGATGTCAGCTCATGATGAAATCCTCCAACCAATTGAGTCATAGTAATCTGTAAAATGTCTGGCTTAATTTAATGTGCTAGGGAAGGTGAAATATGAAACATCACTGAAACATCTGCTTTTCAAAGGCATGTTTATTAATTTAATAGTTAAAATGACATAGTCAGTAAACGGTTGACTGATTCAAGGCTGAATAATGTGTGATAATAGATAGTTAATTATTTCATATCACTTCACGGGGACCAAGTTTTAGAAAATACTGAAAATTTATGAAGAGAAATTAATGTTAAGAGGATAAGCACTAGTTTGTAAATCAATAAGAGTGTTTAATTTCTGCTGAATACTAAATAATTATTAATTTCTTTGTTTAACTGACAGGCTGTCAAACTTATGACTACATCTATTAATAGAGGTGTTCAAAGATTGATACTGTAGATTCATTAAACCACCATCTTAATGTATACAATTATTCAGAAGTAGTTTCTAAAGATAAAAGGAAGCTGCATAAAAGTCAACTACACATTGGAAGTAAAGGTTTAAAATATGATAAGGTGTTATGTATTTTTGGTAAATATAAATACGATTGTACAGCCTTTGAACAATCATGATTTCTGGAAATAGACGTAACTGCTATAGCTGATGGTAGCTGGCAATTTTTTCTTTCTCTGGATGTTTTCGTCAGTTAAATCACTAAACGTAATTCCTAATGAGTTACTATGGTTCAACATCACATCAAGTCTTTTATCTGATATGGTCCGTTTAACTAAGCGTGTCAGGATCGTACGTAATTTAAATATAGTACTGAGAATTGAAATACTAGTGGTTGGATATTTTTTGGAGTAATAGGGATGTACAAAAACCTTTTCAAAGTATGAGGAATTGTAGTCGAACACATAGGTTAAACAAAATTAAAAATGGTTTAGTGAAACTACTAGCAGCCAAAACTGGTTTTACCGATTTACTCACATGGTTATCACGATAGATTTCTGAAGCTAGTGGTTTTCAAATTAGTATTAATTTGTGATGAAACTGACGCCTGTAATAGTTTGGAGCTGAAGGTACTTAATGGTATGAAGAAAGCCGTAAAAAATTAATTTCTTAATTTATAATGAGACATTTTCACAATGGAAATGCTTTTGCCGAGAAAAGCTGCTATGTGGCACACAAGATTAAAGTGTAAACCATGGGCTTTCTTAAGTTCTGAATGGAGGAGTTAATTATAGTTGTTCACAAGCAGTTATGTAATAGTAAACAGAATATCTGTTAATCAACAAGGTATTTGGTTTGTTCTTGTTGCTGAAAGTAGAAGATTCTTAGATCAGAATGATATATTGGAAGAGAAGTAATCTAAGATAGAGGAGAAAATATGTGAAAAAGACTGAAATCAATGTTCACTAAGAGTGATAGCATACATGATATAAGGCTAGGTATAAATTCTTATTTAACAATAAAATTTTGTTTGTTGATACCAGTGATGAGGACTTCGGTGTTTTCCTTTTTAATTAGCTGCCCGGTATCATAAAAAATTAAAAGTTGTCAACAGAATTCTTGTATCCAGAGTGATTTTTAAAAGTTAAAAATCTTAATTACATTGCAAAGTACTTTAATATACAAGCCAGTAATTGTCATCCTTTAAAATATGAAGAGGTGACATCATGTTTTTCCTACTCAGATATGATAAGTATTTTCTAGTATAACAGATACACTTATGGCTTTATTGAGACTCTTATTAATCTTATGAGTATTCTAACTGGCCCTTTGAAGCAGATGAATCAGGTCTTCTACCTTTCATGTCTGCTGAATACTTGTCACAAGAGGCTACTGTATTTAAGACAGAACATTCTTTAGATTTTCGTTCTATGTTTAGCACTGCTACTGCAGCTGTTTTTCCTTTGCCCTGTTTAACAGTGGTTTGACTCAGTTTGTTTTGACTCGCTTTGAAGGTAACTGGCAAGCTCAATAAAGATTCCTGTATGTTAAATGGTTGGAGACAACTGATGAGAAACAGTAGACTTAGATTTACTGCTTGCGGGCAATCGTCAGCAGAGCGTATCTGCAACACTGAAGGAAATAATGTCGCCTCGTCACATCAGCCAGTGCTGCAGTTAGAGACGTTATCATTGAGATATCCGGGCTCTTAATTGACCTCCTGTAGGACTGTGATTGATATATTGTTTGGTCACTAGGGAGCAACCAATGTAATGCGCCAATACCAAGAGCTAGACGCACGACATTGGTTATATCTTAGTGACCAATCAATGTAAATTCCTGCATATTAAAGTTGCTTGATTTTACCCACTGCTTATAAACGTTGAAAAAGCTATCTTTCCACGATATAATATAAGCCTTCAAAAACGTATACTTTTAGTCTGTGCATTTATATAGTAAGACATTTGTGTATAATGTGTGATGCCTTAAATATTTACAATTCAGGTCATCATTATTCAGTATGCAACTAGATACCTAAATCATTTGAAGCCAACTAACATAATGTTACAGATCGTGCTCTTATGTTCATTACAATGGTTTGTGTGAAGAGGAAGTGGTACTCCACTCAAGGTTTCGAACTTCTGTCATTCATTCTGGAAGTTAAAAATGAAAGTCTGCGTTATTTAAGTAATATATTTTGCGAAAAGCTGACAGCATGTTGACTATAGAGTGCAATATATATATATATATATATATATATATATATATATATATATACGGTGAGAGCTGGCTGCTAGCCAAAGTTGGTAGACAGTAATTGACATCAATGTTTATGTCTCAAATATTAGTCGTGAGAAAACAAGGTCAAAGGTTTTGGGTAGGCGGATACAGTTAGCATATGGATGATCTGACACAGCCACAAAGAGATGCAAGGTTAACTGTCTGTGAGAAACAACCAATCAAAAGACTGTATTTTCTACTAACAATAATCTACAATAATGTACATTAAAATCTATAAATATGTGTTGATTTTCCTTAATAAACGATCTGTTGCCTGACCTTTGTCTTCTGTTGTTATATATATATATATATATATATATAATTCTCTTATGTTCTGGGTGGGACATAGGGCTTCATCAGCACATCTCCATTTCACTGTGTTCTCTGAAGTTGTTTTTAGCTGTCTACTACAACTACACATAAGCCTTCATCTCCTCCCCTCTTGATATCCTTAATATCTATCTCGAGTGGCCAACTGGTTGTTTCCCATTCAGGTTCCACTCGATGGCCTTGTTCGTGATGTCACTCAACAGTCTCCTTAGAGTGTGTCCAA